CCCCCTTTAGAATGGTGGGGAGAATGCCCCCCTTTAGAATGGTGGGGAGAATGCCCCCCTTTAGAATGGTGGGGAGAATGCCCCCCTTTAGAATGGTGGTGAGAATGCTCCCCTTTAGAATGGTGGTTAGAATGCCCCCCTTTAGAATGGTGCTAAGAATGCCCCCCCTTTAGAATGGTGCTGAGAATGCCCCCTTTAAAATGGTTTGGAGAATGCTTTTAGAATGGTGGGGAGAAAGCCCCCCTTTAGAACTGTGGGGAGAATGCCGCCCTTACAGACATTAGAAGATAATTGGTGTCATGCCGTTGGTTCTGCCAGGTGGTGTTGTCCGTGGAACTATACAGGGACCATCAGATGGGAGGGCAATCATCCACAGCTCAAGGGACCCCTAACAACCCCTGGAGGAACCCCAATGTTATGGAACTGGTTGAGAAGGCTGCCCTAGATGAATATTTATAGACCAAAGGAAAACCAGGGGGTATTAGTGGTATGCAGATACTGAACACTAACATATAGATAAGAGTATTACAATGTTTCAATGTTTAGAACAAAGTTTATATTTTATTTCCATAGATGTTCCTGCCTACAACCATACAAAGACCCCTTATACCATCCTCATCACAGATTGTCTACTATACGCTGTATCCTCTAGTACAGTGGTTCTCAACCTGTGTAAACTCAGGACCCACATTTGTCCTTGATCATTAAGTCGTGACCCAAGTCTGCAATGTCTGCACTGCAATGGAACACACGGCATTGGGGTACGGCACGTTCCAGGTGCGGGGGCGTACGAACTGTGGGTAGGAGGTGCGTTTGGGGGACTATTCAAATGAATGCAATGCGCCGGGCAGTATATTTTGAATGGCTGCTTGGCACAAGAACTGACAGTGCTGCGCTAGAAAAGTGGAAGGCATGCGGCGACCCACAGTACATGGGGTTGCGACCCACTTTTGGGTCACGGCCCACCAGTTGAGAACCAAGGCTCTAGTATATCCTCTAGTATATCCTCTAGTATACACTGTATCATCTAGTATACCATCTAGTATACGCTGTATCATCTAGTATACGCTGTATCATTAGGTATATGCTGGTTTTCATCCAACACATTTCTTGGCACAAAGTCTCCTTTTTTCAAGGATTTGTATGCAATTCAAGTAAATTAAATAATCTCATATAGTGAATCATATAAATTGATTCAAACCATATGTTCTTAACTATTTGTATATGTCAAAGGTTGGCAACCTTGGCACTCCTGCTGTTGTGGATCCACCAGTCCCATGAGGCATTGCAAGACTGACAGCCATGGGCATTACTCCAAGAGGCAGGGGCATGATGGGATTTATAATTTCAGCACAGCTGGAGTGCCTAGGTTGCCTACCCCTAGTATACATGATCAAATATCACCCATCAGAAGACACGAGGGACTGGCCCGGCATGTAATGGCTCAATGGTTGAAGGAGATCCTCAGGGTAAGGTTACCCCACAAAGGAACAGAGACTTGATATGGCTGATTACAGACTTGGACGTCCTCAGATCTTCTAAACTACAAAGCAGCAGTTTCAGTATTACCGGCTTGTTTGAAAACAACACAATATAAGGTGGAATTCCCCTGCTGAAGAAAGATTAAAAATGACGCAGCGCGCAGATCACATGACCAGAGAGAAGTTGGCAGATGAAGCTGCAGCCGGTCTTGGAGAGAAGAGGGACCTGTCAAGTTGCTGAACCAAAATAGGATGTCCAGCAAACAAAAAATGAACATTCACTGTGGATGGAGAGAGACCCTATCAGGATTAACATCCCCTGCGCCCACCGATGACCAGGAGACACCCTATCAGGATTAACATCCCCTGCGCCCACCGATGACCAAGAGACACCCTATCAGGATTAACATCCCCTGCGCTCACCGCTGACTAAGAGACACCCTATCAGGATTAACATCCCCTGCGCTCACCGCTGACTAAGAGACACCCTATCAGGATTAACATCCCCTGCGCTCACCGATGACCAAGAGATACCCTATCAGGATTGACATCCCCTGCGTTCACCGATGACTAAGAGGCACCCTATCAGGATTAACATCCCCTGCGCTCACCAATGATCTTGAGACACCCTATCAGTATTAACATCCCCTGCGCCCACCGATGACCAAGAGACACCCTATCAGGATTAACATCACCTGCGCTCACCGATGACCAAGAGACACCCTATCAGGTTAAGGTCCCCTGCGCTCACCGAGGACCAAGAGGCAACCTATTAGGATTAACATCCCCTGCGCTCACCGATGATGACCAAGAGACACCCTATCACCTATCAGGATTAAGGTCCCCTGCGCTCACTGATGATGACCAAGAGACACCCTATCGGGACGAAGCAGGTGCATTGGACCAGCTTTGAAATTGGCCATCAAAAAAACAATTCCAGGGTAACCCAAGGCTTGAAATTGGATGCAGATTGAACATTAGGATTTAATCCTCCGGTGAGTCCCATGAGTGAGTTAATCTCTGGGACAATCCCTTTAAATTGTCCACAGTGGATGATCCCTATTCTCCGTACCAATGGGCATGACACAGGCAGCTGTTCGTACATGGAGAGAGATATA